AATTTGTTGGGGGTAGTTAAAATGGATAATCCTGGCCTATTCTCTGCCTTTGCAGATGTTTCCTTGTTACAGCTCCAAAACCATATGGATTCAACATTTCAGATAGGTCTAAGCATTTGCTTATGTTATCTTATATTTATATATGACCTAATGGAATTTTATTTTGAAAGTTCAGACATAAAAACATACTTGAATAAAAACGCACTTGAATAAAAAGACATCTGCTGGTTTGTGGAATTTACTATTAAACTTAGAATTTAACAGTAGTATCAAGGTCATAACTTCACTAATGAACTTTCTAATGTCCTGCATGTTGTTTTTGGCTTTTACATTGTCAGTGTTTTATTTAGGTAAAGAGATCTCTGTGTATCTTTCAAGTGTTTGTAGCAAGAAAGAGAAACTAATTTTAATTGTCATGCAAAAGTGCTGAGAATATTGATTATAAATATTGCCATGCTACTGAGATTTAAGACTGTCAAATGTGAAAAATTATGCTGTTTTGTTTATTGAACATTACAAACAATTTGTCAAATATCAAAAAGTGATACATTGGGGAAGCCTGCTCAGCTACTCAGGTGACAATGTTTTTTACAGGTGTAATAGGGCTGTATCTATTTACCTTTTTAACTGATAATCCTGTAAAGTGATGTAAATGTAAAAAACACTTCATTGATTATGCTTCTGACCGTATCTTCGTATGATAAAATAGAAACAAAAAAGGAAATACAATTAAAAACATAGCAAGTAGCAAGCAAGTAGTCTTCAGTGTTCATCTAAACAGTATGATGACAAATACATTAAGTGAAAAAATAAACCTGCCTAATTCCTTAATTTTCAAATTTTGGGAAGGCAAAGTTTAAGTTGTTCCACTTACTGCTTGACCATCTGTTTTACTTGTAAAAGCAAGTAAATGCAGTATACAAATATTTTATCTGGGCGATATACAGATAGACATAAGAATATACATGCACATATATATACATACACAACACACACATACATAGTATGTATGTATGTTTTTTATTGCAAAATTACATTCAAAACAGCATGATCTGAAAATTTCTCGAGATACATTTTAAGAGTGCTACTTATCCACTCATACTACATTTAATAGCACAGCAGAATATTTCTTCCTAAGTCCTCCTACCTAACATGTTTTCTAATTGAGCCTTTTTTGGACTGCACTGTGTCAAAATAATGTTGAATCTTATTTTTTTCTTTGTTTTGTACAATGCTCAGGGAAACCATCTGGACACACCGAGTCTTGTTTCTAGAGGAGAGAATTCTTAGTAATTGGACATCCTTCACCATTTGGAATGCTGGCAAACAGGGCAGAAAACTTTTTAGAAGTTTATCTCCAGCTAATCAGAACAAAGTAAGTTTGAACAAATATTTTATAAGTAGGCATCACTTCAATAAACACTCGTTCTTGCTGACCTATTTTCAAAACCATTTCCAATCTATTTAGTATGATCATTCATTTTTATTTCAAAATGTTCCGTTTTGCCCATATATGATATATATTACAATACAAATACACATACAGAAAAGAATTTTAGAGTGTTGAATACAAAATTTATTCTGATAATAAATTAGATTACTGAATATGCTGGCTGGTTATTACTAGCCAAATATTGTCCAGAAAATAGTTTAAAAGGAACATCTGTAGAGCATGGGAAAACTGTAATGCTGTAACACTATATATTATTTGTCATTTGTTTCACTTATTGCTTCATCTGCTTTGAGAAAAATAGTGACTTGTGAATTGAGAAAAAGGGCTGTTACTAGATTTTATTTATTCCATACTTTATTGTGTTAGCTCTATGCTATAGAAGTTAACTTATAAATAATAGCCCTTGAAAGCTACTGGTATGTCCCAAGGCAGTGTATGGAAGGGAATTTGTTAAGAAATAGATATATATAGAGAGATTTCTATCCTACCTTAATATATATCAAAGGTGGTTCAAAATAGCTACCGTTCAGATGATGAGATATAATGTTTTTGCAAAGAAAAGATCATTGTCCTCTTTTTTTTTTTAGAAAATAAAAACTGTGGTTCGATTAGCATTTTGTCTTACACTCCATAAGTGTTGCATACAAACGCAGATTTATGAATCTTGTTGAATAGTTTAAGACCACCTTCTTTAACTGTAAATAAAATAGTAAACAGATTATTGTCCATAAAAGAAGCTTGACTGCTGGACATATGCAGATGATTATTTCTTTTACAGCTGACAGGCTGTTGAGTCATCTTAATCACTGGAGTGCAGTTTGCAAAATTGTTTGTTGCTATGGAAATGTCATCGTTCTCTTCCATTGTTGGGCAATATGCTTTGTAAAATCCCCTGAATGCTTTCGTTTATCATGTGATGAAATTGTTTCACAGTGGTGGGCCATAGGCTAGGGTTTCAGACTTCAGTCAAGGAAAAGAGACTTCAGAAATGAAAAACAGCAATCAGTCCCTGAGGTTTCCTTTCCAGTTCATTATTTGTGAAGCTTTTCCCTGATCAGTTGAATATGGTCATCAGTATGAATCGAAGCAGTTTTCTTAACCTGATTTTCAGCAGATATAGTGATTCCTGATCAGTTTTATAACAATACAGACAGTTTTATAACTATCTGGTTTGGTACACCCACCAAACAGTACAAGTACAGACTTCAGTGGATAGTTAGGACTATAGAAAAAAACAATTGCAACCTGCCTTCCATTGAGGATCTTATATTTCATGAAGCAGAAAGAGGGTTGAGAAAATATCTACAGACCCCTCACATCCTGGACATAAACTGTTTCAATTTCTCCCCTCAAGATGCTGCTATAGAACATTGCGTGCCAAAACAACTAGACACAAAGATAGTTTCTTCCCCCATGCTGTCACTCTGCTAAACACCTAATTCCCATAGCACTGTCTTATGTCTAAGGGTATTTATCTATGTAGTAGGGCAGAACAGAACAGAAAAGAATAACAGAGTTGGAAGGGACCTTGGAGGTCTTCTATCTAGTTCAACCCCCTGCTTAGGCAGGAAATCCTATATCATTTCAGACAAATGGTTGTCCAGTCTCTTCTTAAAAACTTCCAGTGTTGGAGCATTCACAACTTCTGGAGACAGGTTGTTCCACTTATTGTTCCTACTGTCAGGAAATTTCTCCTTAGTTCTAGGTTGCTTCTCTCCTTGACTAGTTTCCATCTATTGCTTCTTGTTCTGCCTTCAGGTGCTTTGGAGATTAGCTTGACTCCCTCTTCTTTGCGGTAAACCCTTAGATATTGGAACACTGCCATCATGTCATCTAAGCTGACCTTTCCATAACATTTGCTTTGGCAACATTGTGGGCCAGAATATCAAGGTTGCAATTAAAGTTGTTTCTTTTTTGCCTTGCTAGGCAATTGAAAAAAGAACTGGAAATATTAACTCAGTCAGTACAGAGTGTTATTTTGTAACAATCTGAGAAAAGATGTTTGTGCCTCCCTCACTTTTCTCAGTTATGGCTGATTTCAAGAGAATGTGTTTGATCATGATTTACTACAGGGGTCCCCAACACTCAGTCTGTAGACCGGCACCAGTCCATGGACTGGCACCAGTCTGCAGCATGCCAGCAACCGGGCTACACAAACAAGCAAAGCCCCATTCGCGGGATGCAGGCAGTACGCAAAACCACACCCCCTCTGATCCATTGAAAAACCTTTCTCCACGGCACCGGTCCCTGGTGCCCCAAAGGTTGGGGACCTCTGATTTACTAGACTGATATTAAGAGAATGCTTTCCTTGTAGCTTTTTAGCTAGAATATCAGCAGAGTATTAAATTATTAGAAAAATCCAGGATCTAGTAGAAATATAGAACACAGACTAACAGAGTTGGAAGTGACTTTGGAGATCTTCTAGTCCAACCCCCTGCTCAAGCTGGAGACCCTATACCATGACAGACAAATAACTGTCCCATCTCTTCCTAAAGACCTCCAGTGATGGAGAACCACAACTTCTGGAGGCAAGTCATTCCACTGATT